GGCAACAATATATTCAATAAGGAAAACATATTCTCATGAATACAAACATAGCAACTATGCTATCCAATGTTCAAAACATAACCAAATGAAAATACAACAAGTCCAAGTCCATGATTTTGATATAGAAATAACTTTCAAACACAATTAAATCCAAGGCTCAATTCGATAGAATTTAATTAAATAAAAATAATTAAATCCCTTAGATTCTAATTCAATTCCAAATAACCTCAAATTAATACATATTAAAGAACATGGCATGGTCATCACCTATATCCATTCTAAAACTCAATTAGGTTATTGGAACAACAAAGTAAAACTCTAATTAAATCATGCTAATTTAATTACCAAGGTTCTAAAGCAACTTCAAATGGTCCACAATTAATATATACTAGTAAACAAGTCATGGCCAATACAAATATCAAGTTAAAATCTTAATTAAGTTAATGGGACCATAAAATAGATTTTAATTAATTCTTTTAATTAAAATCTCTAGATTTTCAAACTTAACCAAATGCTCTTAATTTAACATATCTTAGAGAATATGCCAAGGACTAATGTAATATCACATTACAAGTTTATTTCATTCAATTTACGACCATGTGACTTAATATTTCACTAAAGTTAAATATAAATTAAAAGTTGCAATTCTCATGCAATTAATCCCAATTTAATATACGTGAACAACCACACCAAAGCTTAATTTTCTAGCATGCCACAATTCAATTCCAAGTTGTATATCACCATAAGGATTAAATCTTAAATAAGGAATTTAATTAAATGAAAGGTTTGAAAACCTAACCGAATATTCTAAATCAAACATATGTGAAGCTATATGGCATGTAAGTCAAGAATATCAAGTCGGAATTTAAATGGAGTGAATAGTGCACTCAGAGCAAATTAATTAATAATTACTAATTTTAAAAACACCTCCAATTACTTTCAAATTCAACTATGTTGGAGAGCATGCAAAGGCCTAATTTAATATGCTAACACATATTGATTTTAAGCTAGTTAAGGCCATGTGAATTAATCTTTCACCTAAGATAAATATTAAATAAAATCTTTAATACTTATTCAAATGTTCCAATTTTAATACACGACAATGAGCATATCAAGGAGCAATATAAAATCATGCTACATGTTTAAACCAATTCATGAGCAACCGGGAAAATTAGATCCCGTACAAGAAAAATAAATAATAAAATCTCTAGATTTTATATTTAATCATGCAAACAAGTAGTATAAGCATCACAAGCATGCTATATAACAAGAATTTAAACCTAAAACATCCCCTACCTCAATTTGAGATGAAAATCTCAAATGCCATCAAAATGGAACGGCTCCGAATCCGACAAAACTACTACGTTTTGTTAGGGATAACGCCGTGAACATAACCCCCATGAAAGCCCCATCAAAATCATAACTTGACCTCAAAATCAAACTCAAGAAATGGTCAAAACTGAATTCTAATAAGGGGGAAAGGAAGAGCACGGCGAGGGGAACAACAAACGTTAAAGCCGAAGACTTTCCATCAAGGAAAAGGGAACCAAAAGAGGAGAGAGAAGATGGCAGCACCCCTTGGGCTGCCATGGGAGCTCTAGGTCGTGCATGAAGAGGGGAGAAGATGAAAATGAAATATCTCACCCCCCTTTTATAGAAATCTCAAAAAGTGCCCCGAATAGGTCTCGTCGGGTCCGAAAAAGTAAAATTTGAGCAGACACACTCAAATGGCAAACCTTTGTGAACAAAAAAGATTTAAAATGATAAAATATGAATAACGGAAGAAACAGCGTCAAAAACCGAGTCCCAAGCAGAAAGTTATGCCCAAAACAAGTTTGGCAAAAACCGGGGCCAGAAACTCCGAAACTGGAAAACATCGACCAGGAGGAAATTCTAAGAATTTACAAGTCAACAAAAAGTGAAAATGAATCCTGTACGAGGATCCAGGCTCCAAACAAGACATTTTGCAATAACTTTCGTTAATTGCAAATGGCCCCTACAAAAAGGGTTAACTGCGAAACTGCCCTAGAATGAAAATATCTTTCAAAAGATATTTTCTTAGATGCCCCTAAAATAAAATATCTTCAAAAGATATTTATGAAAAACATCCCAAGAAATGAAATGAATTTCAAAGATTTATGCATCCATGCCCCTTTGGGCACCGGGAGCAACCAAAGTACTTTCTTGCAAAAGTAAAGATACGTATTTCGTGGAAACCACTCACGATAAGGATACATGAAGTCAAAAACCAACTCCAAGCTTGAAAAGTGAGGTTGTGCCAAAAACTGACAAACGGAGATAAGACGAAATAGGGAAAAGGACGAAATAGCGCATAGTGTCGAAAAATGAAAAATGTGAAAATGACTCGGTCCTCAAAGGAAGTTATCAATCCACGGAAAAGAGTCTCAGGAACCAATTCCGAGCACTTAAGATGACACTAAGCGACACGAAACAGAACTCAAAAAAGAAAATTAAACGAAAAAAAATTCATTCGTAAAATTTTAAGAAAAAGGAAAAGGAGGCAAATGACCGGGTCGTTACACTAAGGCCATCCCCAAATCTTGAATTTCTCCCAACCTTTGCAATAATGGTCTCAAATGAAGGCTCTAGTCAAGCTCATCAACTTTCCCTTCTATGGCATCATCAAAATCACCCTCTAACCTCCTTAAATCCAAGCTTGGAATATAAATGACATATATGTGTATAGATATAGTGAGAGAAGGAGAAAGGTTAGAGAGAGAGAGAAGGAATCTGAAAATGAAGAAGAAATGAGGGATTGGCTTGTTTTCACCTTTAGCATGTAGTCTAAATGGTGCCACTTGTCAACACCTTGTGGATTACTAATTATGGTCAAGTTACCATCATGCCCTTGTTATTCCTCTACAATGCCAACCTTGTCCCACAAAATGTCTCCTCTAATATATATATATATATATGTGTGTGTGTGTGTGTGTGTGTGTGTGTGTGTGTGAAAAAACCACAATGCCCCTCAATGCAAATGGCACAACTAGGAGAAGTTCCCGAGCCCTAAAATCGTCCCGACGTTCAAAAATTTTAAAAATGACACCGTCACTTCTAATTGACTTAGAATAAATAAAAATACATTTCTAAAATCCTCGGCTCAAAAAATAACCGAAACGGCCCTTGGGCCCACGTGGCATGCAAAATGAGGCACGGAAAATAATTAAAATAAAAAAATTTTAAAAAAATTCCAGAAAATTCCAGTACATTACAATTTTTCTTGAATTCCGAGTCTTGGACACGTGAATTTTTTTCTTGTGTAAACTTGACCATTGTAAAAGGAGGTCGAGGATTCGAAGACAATGATAAATCGGTATAAGATTGAACCTTTGGACACCTTGGCCGATAATCATAATACGGCTAAAATTGGATCTCCTCATACTCCTCATAATCTAATGGAAGAAACTTGGCTTTCAAAAGACATTTCAACTTCAACCAAGATCGTATCGGTGCTTTTCTTTATACTGCACGAATAATTCGCAACTGTTCCCACCAATTAGAAACTCTTCCCTTCAATTTGTACGCGACAAGTGCAACCTTCTTATCCTCTGGAATCCCCATGTAATCAAAGAACCTCTCAAAATCTTTTAGCTACTCTAGAAAATCTTCAACATTAAAGAGACCATCAAAACTAGGAGGAAAATTCCTAGAATCATAATCTTCATAATCATGATATCTTCATGCATCTCTATGACCCTAAGCACTTTTTCAGCGTAGTCATCATTACTGAAGTCTTCCTCGTAGGGTGGATCCCGGCCTACATGGTGGGATGGGGTTGCCATTCCAAAAAGGATGAACGCGATTTTCATCAATGTTTCGTACCCTGTTGTAATCGGAATTCTGATTTGGACCCAACGCGAGCCCAACAAGGGTTGCTTGAATTTCTTGCAACGCCTATTGGGTTGTTTGTTGAAAGACTGGGAATTCGGCCCTCAAAAGAGCCTCTTTCTATCGATCTTTGTTGTCAGTGAGGTTGCCATCACCATGTTCATCTACCATCAGACCAAGAAAAGACAAGGCTTGATACCAACTGACGTAAGCGAAAGTAATAAATTTATTCACAGGGAATAGTTTACTTTGAATTCACAAAGTAGATGTTTTGAATCTATAAAACAAAGACATAAAATTAATAAAAGTTTTAATTCTGCACTTGGCGGCACATATATTTGTAATAAAAGAAAATCTAACTCTAGAATAAAACTAAAACATAAAGAAACATAATAGCAAAAGGAAAATAACACTAAAAATAAGACTAAAACAAAGTTTCTCTAAAAATTCCAAAATAAATGGAATAAGAAACCTAATAAATAAATAATACTAAATCTAAAATTTGAGAGCAATCAGACTTCGTTTTTGCCTCGAACAAAAATCCTGAAATAATTAACACGTCTCTAACAAGATAATAAAACGCGATTTCGTAGCCCTAAACCAAGGTTTTCAGCCAAAAAATACTATTGGTTTGTTGAAAAAAGACTTGTCAAACTATTCAAAATTATGTCATACATCAGCATGAAATGAACCTATGAATCAAGCATTTAAGCTTTAGGGGTTTACTGCGAATGGTTACAAGCCAAGGGGAGTTTCTGACAAATTGCCTAGTTATTTTTTTATTTTTTATTTTTTTTGTTCCCATAATTGTTTGATGCCCCAACTGAATTTCTCAATCGGTCATTGCAGGTAACTGACTTCTGGTCCCCTGTACATAAATTTTCTTTCAAATATAACATTGCTCATGATGTTAAAGAGGTTCTAAGAAAACTAAACAATACTTTAAGGGAAGAAAAGATGCTTAATCTCACCCCAAGCATACATGGTACTACGACGGATGAGGTTGACGTTGTTGACCCTACTAATTCTAATCTTCTTATATCAGAGACTGTTAGTCGTGTTAGGATGGATGAAAAAGAGAAAATGTTAAGTTTGTTGCTTCAGATGATTACAGTAGTGAGCGCCCTGTTTCTGTCATTTCCATAACGGGGATGGGAGGAATTGGCAAAACAACTCTCGCTAAACTAGTCTACAATGATGAAAGCATTAAAGACCATTTCAAATTTAAAGACTGGGTTAGCGTCGCACATAATTTCAAATTGGACATAATTTTAAATATTATGAAGAAAGAATTTCTCGCAACGAGCTACACACCATCCATGGACAACCCCCAAAGCAAACATCACGCTTTTTTGAAGGAAAATTGTTTTTTGCTAGTTCTAGATGATGTGTGGACTGAAGATTACAAAGACTGGGAGCAACTTGAAAGAATATTAACTGAGGGACAAAGGGGTAGTAAAATTGTGGTAACGAGTTGAACCAGGGATGTTTTGAGCATTAAAGATGCCAAACATACTGTCCTTCTTGAATACCCCTTGTCAGTGTTGGACGACGACAAAGAATGTTGGTCGTTGTTCTGCAGTGCATTCTCAGGTGAAATGTCGACAGATGCTGAAGTTACTGGTAGGGGAATTGTGGGCAAGTGCAAAGGTTTGCCTTCTGTGATAATTGCAATGGGGAGACTCCTAAGTCATGTCGATGTGAATGAATGGGCAAATATACTGAATAATGATATATGGAAGGTAGAGGAACAAAAGCATGATCAATATCCCATAATTATGCCTGCTCTATGTCTGAGTTTTGATCGTCTGCCTTCTTATCTAAAACATTGTTTCGCATACTTTTCCACATTTCCAAAGGCTTATGAATTTGATAAGAATGAATTGGTGAAGTTATGGATGGCAGAAGGATTTATCCAGATGAATGAGATAGATGGAACAGAAAGGATAAAAAGAAGAGAGGAAAAAGGAGTTAGATATTTTGGCGGTCTGTTAGCGAGGTCCTCCTTTCAAGAAGAAAAAGTAGGAACTAGTACTACATACAAGATGCATGACCTGGCCTAATCCATGACTTGGCATAATCTGTGGCCAAGCCCTATTGTTACCAAGTGACGGAGAAGGACAATGAGCTGCCTTTTCATCTTACTGAAAAAACTCGCTATGTCTCACTCATTTGTGAAAATGTCAAGAATTCTGCTGCAATGATACTTGACAAGTGTAGGAAGCTACATACACCTCTATTGCCTGGTGACTTCTCAAATGACTTTGGTCCAATGCTTGACAGAATATTTCACACTCTCAGATTCATTCGGGTCTTGGATCTAAGTTCAAGCACACTCTCGAAGTTGCCCAAATCAATTAAAGAACTGAAGCTGTTGCGCTACCTTGACCTGTCCAAAACAGAAGTCAAAAAGCTTCGTAATTTAATCTGTATCCTCTACAATTTGCAAACCTTGAAACTCATTAGTTGCCTTTTGTTTCTTGAGTTACCCAAGGATCTAAGTAACATGATTCACCTACGATGTCTCGAGCTAGATGACAAATTCTGGTACAAATGCTCCAAGCTGCCTTAAAGAATGGGGAGAATAAGAAATTTACAGTCTGCCAACTTTTTTGGTTGGCCGTGAGGAAGGATATAGAATTGAAGAACTGAAGCACATATTGTCCCTCACTGGAACACTGCGTATTTTGAAGCTTCAAAATGCAGTGAATGCAGGGGAGGCTAAATTAAAGGACAAAAGAAGGCTTTGAGCATTGGTTTTCAAGTGGAGTAACAGATCAGATGTCCAACCACAAGATCGGGAAGCTGTTGAGAGGGTACTTCAAGCCCTGGAACCTTACTCGAGCCTGGGAGAGCTCAAAATCTTTAATTATGAGGGCTAGAGAGTTCCAAGTTGGATGAGAAACAAGCTGCTCCAAAATCTACAAGTTCTTACTCTACATCATTGCAAAAGTTACAAAGTCCTCATTCTTGGCCAACTACCTCAACTTATGAAGATTTGCATCAAAGGAATGCAGACTTGGAGGAGTGGCGTGATGAACGATTCCTTTCCATTAGAGTACTTAAGATAAGCAGCTGCCGGAAGCTAAGGAAGTTGCCACACTTCTTTCCTGAAGTAACAGTTTTGAAGATAAAAAATTGCGACTCATTGAAGGATCTTCCAGTGACCCCATCTCTGATGTTTCTCATACTTGTTGAAAATCCTGTTCTTGAATGCCGGAGTTTTATACTTTTTAATTTATTGGAACTAACAATAATTGGTTGCCCCATACTGCAGGTTTTGCCGTTTTTCGCTCTACAGAAACTGATGATCAGTGGATGTGAGTCATTGCATGCCCTCCCACTTCCAGAAATGTCACAACGTCTATTGCATTTAGAACTAGGGGCATGCCACAATGATGAGTTAGTACATGCTATACCTCATGCCCCTACTCTTTTCTTATTAGTCATCTCCAATATCTCGAATCTAATCTCTCTTCCTAGATTACCGGAGTTTTCTGAGCTTCTCCACCTCTACATACGTGGCTGTGAGGATCTTGAGTCTTTGTTTTAGGATGACAGATGCTGGTAAAGCATGCTTAATGTCACGGGCCTAAAGATTTGGTGCAGCGACACGGCCCGTGCGGCACCAAGGCGTTGCTTCAGCTCGCGCAAATGCCCTTGTCAGCCATCACGACCTACCCTCCCAAGGATACATGCTGACTGGTTTCGGCTTACCTTGGCCTCATCAGGGGAATGGCTCCAGCTCCCAACCAGTTTGTGCAGGGATGACCAACTCCCTTCTTCATAGTCAAGTCCACGACTAGCGACAAACACCTCGAACTGAACCGAGTCGACCTGCCTGAACTCTAAAGAGGTTCCATCCTGTGCTCCTACACGACCCTTCTCTGGAACCATTCCTAGTCAAACTCAGCTCTTTGCCAACTAACATGTATGTCTTCCATCCTCCAAGCGTCTTAGGAATCACTTCGTGACACTCTCCCCCACCCAAATCCTGCGACGCCCTCGTCGCAGTGCAGCGCTTCACTACTGCGTCCACTCCCTTCCAAAGTTTGCCTCCATACAGTATGCTCGCCTTCCCACCATCGCTTCCTTGTGCAGCTCCCTGCACTGCACTCGCCCAATGATAGGCCTCGAACCAAGGGGACATCCACTCCTCAAGGACGTGACTCTTCTCCGTCATGCCGCCTCCGCGACATCCCGAGTAAGCAAGGGCCTCCTGCCGACTTGATGCTCGCCCTTCACCATGGTTTGCATCACCAAAGGACTAAGCACGAACTTTGGTGCGTGCGGCCCTCCGGCCCTCCAGTGCGCAACTTCAACGGACACCACTTCCTAAGGAGATGGAGGTTCTCTCCCTAACTGCATTGATTCCTCCTCATCGACGCAACTTCAGTGCATCGTCTTCATTCTCAGATCCCTCCCAGACCGACAAGGGGGAACCCCACCGTGCTTTACCCCAAGTCCTGCTCTGATACCATTTGTCACGGGCCTAGAGATTTGGCGCAGCGGCACGGCCCGTGTGGCACCAAGGTGTTGCTTCAGCTTGCGCAAGCGCCTTGGTCAACCACCACGACCTGCCCTCCCAAGGATACATGCTGACTGGTTTCGGCCTGCCTTCACCTCCTCAGGGGAACGGCTCCAGCTCCCGACCAGTTTGTGCAGGGATGGCCAACTCCCTTCTTCATAGTTAAGTCCACGACTAGCGACAAGCACCTCGAACTGAACCGAGTCGACTTGCTTGAACTCTGAAGAGGTTCCATCCTGTGCTCCTGCACGCCCATTCCCTAGAACCATTCCCAGTCAAACTCTACTCTTTGCCAACCAGCATGCGTGTCTTCTATCCTCCAAGCGTCTTAGGAATCACTTCGTGACATTAAGCTCGAAACACTTTCAATTCGTGATTGTCCCAAGCTAAAAGCTTTGCCAGATGAAGGACCACCCACCGCACTTAAATGTTTGGTAATTCGATCATGCACCAATCTTTAGTTATTGGGGCCTAGTAGGTGTTGAAGAACCTAACTTCCCTCAAAGACCTTTACATTGAGGACTGCCCAGCACTTCAGTCCTTGCCTACAGAGGCGCTTTCCTCCTCGCTTCAACATCTGTGTATTCAAGGATGTCCCTTATTAATTGAGCGAAGTGGAAACAAAGAAGGTTCAAGGGGTCTAGATTGGCCGAAAATCATGTACATCCCAGATCTGGAGATTGAGACGGTGTCACTCAAGGCCCAAGCTTCTTCACCATCATCCACATTTGCATCGCCATCAGCGTGTTGGCCCCAACATTTTACCCTATGGAAAGGTATGCACACACTTCTTTAAACTAACAAGCAACAAATTCTATTTATTCATATTTATAATATCAGCTTTCGAGATAGTTTGTGTTACATAGATATGCTATTATGTTTAAGATCAAGTAACTTCTTATTTGCAGGATTTAGCATCAAGAGAGTGCTCAACAACCCCCCAGGCAATCCGAGTAACATACCTTAACACGACTGAATAAAGGTGACAATTAATATTTCAAAACATATATTTTTATGATTGCTTTCCTCTCTCTCTGCGTAAAAATATCTATTTTCGATCTCTCCCTCTCTTAGTTATAAAAAATCAAAATGTTTAGAGGATGGTGGAAGCGTAACCATTCTTATGGCATCAACATAATATGCATAACAATATCTATTTAAAGGATTTGGAGAAAAAAAATTAATCTTTACTACATTGTATATGACTCAGTTTGTATACATTAAAGAGTTCAAACGAATCTGTAGGTCATTGAAGCTGAATGGTTATGCAGAGGGCTGGGGCAACTATTATCAAAAGCAAAGCTACTCGAGGAGATGAAGTAGCTTAATAAAAATTATAAATAATTATTAATTTGAATATGTGTCATGTGTTGTACTACGTGTGCTTATGTTTGTATTTGAAATTGTAGTTGCAACAGACTCGTGAACAACGTTGTTCACCATGTTGTTTCAACATTTGGATCTCTGTAGTATCACTTTATTTCTAAATCCGTTTTATCATGTTTTATGCACCCCCTTGAGATAAATTCTTGGATATCTGGTTGATGCGTCGGTTGTGGAGGGCAAAACACTTTGTCTAGCTAACATATCATTGTTCTCACAATATAGGCATAGGCCGTGGTAAAATAAACCTTCCACCAAGGCCAACATAGTCCCTGATGGTAAAGTAGGTTATCAGAACGGCTATGTGTGGTGGAAAAGCATTTTCCACCACCGGCTATGCCCCTGATGGACAAGTGGTTTTTTTTTTTTTTTATCACCAGTACCAACCTTGATGTATAAGTGGTTTTTTTATTTTTTATTTATTTAATTTTTTTTTTTTCCCGTGGAGTTGTATTCTATTCCCGTAAATATATTTTCTTGCCATGTTGATGACTTGGTAGAGGTTTACAAGGATTGTAATCATCTTATTTTTCCCTCTTATTTTACAACTTCTTTAGAGAATTCTTGACAATGCCGCCTTTTGCGGTACCAGTTTTTACAGAATTTTTTGTCCGACGACTACATACTAATTGAATCTTGAATATTGTAGCAAAATTATACCTATATTTTATTTCCCCTTGTTCTGCTACCCTATTAGTTCAAAAAAAAAAAAAATTTATTTTATGAGGTTCAATATGCTCCTTTGAAATAAATTCATAACTTTGTCACTGTGCGTGAACCATTTCACATTTTACCACAATTTTCAGTTTCTAGCCCGAAACTAATAATGGAGTGAAATATACTATTCGGAATAATTTTCTACTGAATATAGTATCATTCTACTTCTACAAGAATCAAGTAAAGGGGGAAAGAAATTATTTAGTACTTCCTTTGTGAGGACCGGTGTCCTTTCTCATTTTTCTCGCATTTATTTTATTTTATTTTATTTTATTTTTGTTTTCAGGTCATGTGGGGCCAAGGCCGGGTCAAGTGAATAGTTTCCAACATTTTCATTCATTCCATCGAGGCATATTTTATCTTAACGACATTGTGGGGTTTATTTTACACTCGTATGCAATCTTTCGAGATATTTTCATGTGGGGACTTTTGTGC